CGGTGCTGTGCAGCCTGCTCTGGGTGACCCTGCTTCGGCAGGGGGGTGGGCTGGGGGACCCACAGAGGGCCCTTCCAACCCCGACCATTCTGTTATTCGGTGAGCTGCTCCTGTGCAACCTCACCAGTAGTTGCAGCCCCAGAGTAATTCTGGCTCTGCTAACTATCTTAAGTGGGTGGGTGGTGGGAACTCCTGCTTGTCTGGGTGCTGGGAGGGCTCCTCAGCACTTCCTATTAAAGATGTATTAGGTTTTTCCCAAGATACCAGTGAAACAAAAACCGTACATCTCAAGTAAATACCTATGTTAAACATAATTGTTATTTTTTTGTATTTTGATTTTTAGGAATTTGAGACTGTGTTCTGTGGCAAAACAGGCAGGAGACTAAAAGTAGCAAGATCAGACCCATTTATAACGTGTCCAATGCAGGAAAACACACATGGCTATGGAGACCAAGTAGTCTGAACTGACCGCCTTGAATTGTATGGCAAGTGTGGCTAACAGTGGCCCAAACTGTGTTTTATTTTCCCCATTCACATGCTGAATATGAATTGCAAACTATAACTTGTAAAAATATATAAATAGAGCTTTAAAGAAAATATTCTTTATTCAAAACGGAAATGAAAGTTAACTACCAGCAATACCAATCAGTGCTCTGTTAAAGGGGCTTTGGGGCCAGCAGCTACAAGAAGATGTCATGACAGCTGAAGTATTTTTGTTCTTTAGTTATAAAAATACGTTCTTTTTTCTGTTCGTGGTTCTGCTTTGGGTTTTTTTGTTGTGGTTTTTGTTTTTTTAAAGATGATCCAGTACAGTTAGGAGTAGTTGTAGAACATCAGTCTGTCTTGTTATTTTAATGACTAGATGCAAATGTACTCTTCGAGTGTAAAACGAAATTAAAGTTACCATATTGTAGTGCCCATTTTTGACATTAAAAATTTAAAGGCTATATTGGTTAATTGAGTGCACAGTTTTGAAACTGTGCTGGTTTTATGAAGCTTGTATTTGCCATATGTATTTTAGTGTACTTGGCCCCGAAGAGTAATGCAATGGAGTTAGCTTTTTTTTTTAAAAAAATACAGTACTATTTTTAATGTCTATCACACAACTGTCCAACAGGTTCTTGTGTTGTTACTTTAGTCCAAGAGTGGCATATTGTAAACAGTAGATTATTTAAATACAGAAACTATTTTCATATTTAAAGATTGACTTTGTTCGTAAGCTTTAGCACATAGGGCAGAAATAGAATAGTGTGTCAGCTGAGAGCGGTTTTATTAATTTTTTTAAAATAGATGATGCTAGCAGGTTTTAAAGTACAAAAAGGTCTCCCAAAATAAATATTGTTTTAAATCACGGATATGGACAATTCTGCAGCAATTTATTTCCAGAGAATCTTAGTAAAACCAGTTCTGGAAAAAAGAGTTCAGCTGAGTTAATTTGAGGTGTATAATGACACTTACAACATCACAAAGAAAAGGTTAAAAAAAATCTCCTTTTATTTTTACAACAGTTCATACAGGTTTTTTTGGCTGGACTTTAAAAGAGCATCCTTTCTTATTTGGGGTTTCATTCACAATTACTGTGCAAATAGCTTAAGTAGAGGTCGTGAAAATGCTGTTGCTTAATTTCCGTATATTTCATATGGAAATGTACAAAAATTCCCCCCTGTAAATTTAAATATATACATTACACCTTTTACAGAGTTTGACTGCAAAAGGATTACTATGTACTGGTCTTGGCAAACATTTGAGGTGCCATCTGAAAACTGAGAACTGACAGCATATACATAAGCGATGGTCTTTACCTTGGCCAGAATCTTAAGATATTAAAAAATGGGATATTTAAATGCCTAATTTCCGCTGCTGGGAGTTGCAGTGAGGTGCCTGACTACCTGAACGACACATATGGTCTGCAGGTTCGGCACTAACCAAAGTCAGGGGGGCAGCACCAAGGAATTCGGCTGACAAGGCTCAGACGCTTACACAGAAAACTCCTGAGCTTTCGTACAGTTAGGGGGGCAATGGTGCAAAGGCACAACGCTTCCTCTTGCAGCTCTCTTGAGCAAAGGGAGAAAGGGAAGGTGAGGTTGTTTGGCAGTAAAAATTCTGACAAATAGTTGGGGGGAGGGGAAAATACTCATAAAGCATCTTTGAATTAAAAGTTTTCGTCTGATGCTTTCTTTTTCATAGAACTGTGTCAAAGTCTCCACTTAATACAATAGAAGGAACATCTGTCCATTTATCACTAGGAGGAGCCTGTCTGTTTTCTTACAATGCACCGTTTATTTAAATATTCAGTCACTTTTCCACTTCTTGTACTGTTGTTTTATGATTTTTTGGAAGTTGATGCTCCAACAGCGCCCATGCAAGCCGATGTGTCACATATTCCTGGAGTTCCCTGAGCCCCAATAGCACCAGGAGTCCCAGGATCCCCTGGAAGACCAGGTTCACCCTGAGCACCATCACGGCCGTTTTTAGTAATTCCAGGTACACCAGGTGGTCCTAAACGAGAAGGGGAAAAAGATTACATGAATTATTTCCTTCTCTTTTTTTTTCGTTTTTAACATGTATGTGTATATATGTATGTGTTGCTTTTAGAGTTGTTAAAATACTTTGAGTGTCTGTACAGCAATCAGACTTGTTATGGCCTGTTTAGCACAAGGTGTTGAATAAATTTAGCCTGAATCTGGAGTGTGTGCGTTGGATTTTTTAGAGTACCTTTGGATTTACTGGAATTACCTTGGTGCAGCTAAAGGCAGATGTTTAGTATTGCGCTTTTATTATTGCAAGTAGAACTGGCTTCCATCTCAGTACTGCCTCAATTAGTGCATGACTCCATGAACAGCAACGATTAATCTATAACCAGAGTTATTCTACATCATCCCTGAACAGTTTGCTCCAGGGGTGTCCTGGATGTGTGAGCTCACAGCTTACTTATCGTGACAATATACATCTGTCCCTCCTTCCTGGGAGGCCTTCAGCCGCTTCAGTTCACTGCACCTCCTGAAGTCTGGTTGTAACTAAGATGCTGAGTAAGGGAAGGAGAGTAGAGAGCATGATAAGGAACATCTCCCTGACATTACTGGTAAGGAGTTTCCTTTATACCTTCAAAACTTTGCTCACAATGATACACATATTTTATTCACTGCCAAATTTATGCTTTGGGTGGACCCAAGCTATTTTTTTTTAAATTTTATTTCTCTTTTCCGTGAGATGCCAAACTTCATTCACAAAACACTAATTTCTGTAACAGCGAGCTACTGAGGCTTTCTTAAGCATTGTAAAATATGACTCTGTCTCCCCGAGGGACAGCCCCATCCGGTGGTCTGTAAACCTGCGTTCCTGTCTTGGCAGGGAGATGGAGTGCCAGCTCCTTGGTATTCACCTAAGTGATGAATTGCAGCTACTGCTGATCTCCTCACGGTTCATGAGCAGGAGAAACGCTCTCAATATCTAATATGTGCAACAGTCTCTTCTTACTTGCTTTGGAAAATAAAATATGTATGGATTAAGGCAGTTATTTTATGGAAGAATCTAAGACAGCTAGGTATAAATATTCTGGTTTTATGAAATCATATGGATGCAGAGCCTGCTTTGGGTGCCTGTAACCGAATCATTGTGCAGATGTAATCACAATTAGAAAAGCTGCTTTAACAGGCAAGCAAAATAAAGAATATTCTCCTGAGTTTTTAACAGATACTCATTAATTTGCATAAATTAATCTTTGAATCCTCTGATAAAGGATTCACGACTTTAGGAACTGGGATTATAACCAGGTACAGAGCAATAACACCACTTGCTCTCAAAATCATTACACTAGGCAGTCTTATTTGTTTCTGGTAAAATTAAATATTGTCCCCCATTTCTCTTGCTCGATCCAGAGACATGAACTGAATTTTGGAGGACTGCAGCCGTCACTGCGGGTGTTCTTAAGGCCGAGCATCAACAAGACACGTGTCCATCAGGAAACAGGCAGCAGGCATGGTGCTTGTGCCTCAAGCTGGAGCTTCACAGGTGTTGCACACCTTTGACCTGATACACCACTTGTTAATTAACTAGTTAATTACTGCATATGAAGTACCATTGAAAATAGCCACCCTCTGACACTGGCAACCACGTGGCTGTAAGTTAAGAAGGGTTCTGACTTCCCGATCTATAAAAGCTCCTGCCCTTTCACAGCCATTAGTGGAAGAAACCAAGAACAAACGAAGATTCTGGCTGTCCCAGCAGCCTCTTCTCAAAAACATCCTCCAAAACATTTAGGACTAGTCAGGAGTGGTGTGAAGAGGGGATGTGCTAATCAAGTTCTACTGTGCTAACTGTCTGCACTTGCTGTACCCACAGGAAAACAACCCTACGGTAATGACTGCAGGGACAAAGTGATTATAATACACTGCCAACACCACGCAGAGCTCTCTCTTAAGCCTTTACTCGGGTCATGGTTTATTAAATTACTTGCACAGCCTTACCTTGAAGCCCTTGATCGCCATCAGGCCCATCGATACCTTGGCCAACAGGTCCTTTATCTCCCTTTTCACCAGTGTCACCTTTAATCACAGACAATTGCAACAGTGAGTTGTGTGCTGCGGCTGGATCCAAGGACAGGGAGGGGAAAGATCAGGAGAAGCTCGAAACCCTCAGGGCACTGCTAGGATCTCTGCTTACGCTGCATCCCTAGAGATGCCAACCTGCCCTCTAGAACTCCATCGGCTGCCCAAGGCCTCATCTTTTCTCCTCCACCGCTGAAATTTGTACAAGTTTGCCATTTATTTCAGCAGGTATAGAAGAGAAGCTGGTGGGTTCAGTCTCACCTACCTCTGGGCCCAGGATCACCGAGCTCTCCTGTGGGCCCTCTGTATCCTGGAGGACCACGAGGACCGGGATGCCCAACACGCCCCATCGCTCCAGGAGGACCTGGGGGACCTGCTGGGCCAGGACGACCCGTCATTCCAGGAGACAAGGGCTTCCGCAGATTAGCAGCTAACTGTGCGATTTGATCTGAAAAGAACAATTAAAAATGGTGTGTCCAACATCACAGAATCACAGAATCACAGAATCAATCACAGAATCACAGAATGGTGGGGGTTGGAAGGGACCTCTGTGGGTCACCCAGTCCAACCCCCCTGCCGAAGCAGGGTCACCCAGAGCAGGCTGCACAGCACCGCGTCCAGGTGGGGTTTGAATATCTCCAGAGAAGGAGACTCCACAACCTCCCTGGGCAGCCTGGGACAGGGTTCCGTCACCCTCAGAGTGAAGAAGTTCTTCCTCATGTCCAGACAGAACTTCCTATGCCCATTGCCCCTTGTCCTGTTGCTGGGCACCACTGAAAAGAATTTGGCCTCATCCTCCTGACACCCACCCTTGTTCGCTCTTTGCTTGGCCGTTTGTCATCTCCCACCACATGTGCTTAATGAGGGAGCAGCTGAAGGCCGAGTGTCTGGCAGTAAAGCAGAGCTGCACGCTTGGGCCGATCCCGCTCAGACTCACCTATTGCTTCTGGCAGAAGGAAACTGAACACTGACTCTGTCCTCTCAGCTCATCTGCGGCTTTGATTTATTTTTTTAAATCTCCACACAGGGAGATTTTGCTCAGAAATTGGCAGGTGTTTTAAGCCATTGATATTTCCTGTTTCCTAAACCACTTTAAAAGATGTCAGATAATCTAGAAAATGAGACTTAACTAATTAAAACAAGTCATCAGAGTTTAACTTCACCCCAGATGGCGAACGGAAGCTCTACAGGCAGAACAGTAACTTCACAGAATCACACAATAGTAGGGGTTGGAAGGGACCTCTGTGGGTCACCCAGTCCAACCCTCCTGCCGAAGCAGGGTCACCTACAGCAGGCGGCACGGGACCTTGTCCAGGCGGGTCTTGAATATCTCCAGAGAAGGAGACTCCACAACCTCCCTGGGCAGCCTGTTCCAGTGCTCCGTCACCCTCAGAGGGAAGAAGTTCTTCCTCGTGTTCAGACGGAACTTCCTGTGCCTCAGTTTGTGACCATTGCCCCTTGTCCTGTCACTGGGAACCACTGAAAAGAGCTTGGCCCCATCCTCCTGACACCCACCCTGCAGATATTTATAAGCATTTATTAGGTCCCCTCGCAGCCTTCTCTTCTTCAGGCTGAACAAGCCCAGCTCCCTCAGCCTCTCCTTGTAGGAGAGATGCTCCAGTCCCCTCATCATCCTCGTAGCCCTCCGCTGGACTCTCTCCAGTAGCTCTTCATCTTTCTTGAACTGGGGAGCCCAGAACTGGACACAGTACTCCAGATGAGGCCTCACCAGGGCAGAGTAGAGGGAGGAAGAACCCTCCGTGGGAGCTGGCCCCTGCCCCGAGCCCCGCTCCAGGGAGATGGGGTGCGCCGGGCGGGGACGGGAGCTGAAGTTCGGAATGACACGCGTTGGGGCAGACACGCTTGCAGCATGCACGTGCGATCCTTGTGTCAGAGCTGCTTTCAGCACACTTTGTATGTTGCCATGATGAATCAATTAAAACTACTAATTTTAGAAAAAGTGAGACATCCCAGAAAACACGGTGACCGCCTGAATAATTTCCTTAAAGGTCAACCTCTTTTTTCTTGTTAAGACAGAAAAATAACAAATCTCAGGAGCCATCTTACGTTCAGAATTTACTCATCTTCAGCTAAATATAGTAATTAAAATCATTTTTCTCCCAGCAATACTCACCATTTATCATTTCACCACAGAGTTCTCTTATATGCTGTTCACTGGCCTCTTTGCCCTGCAATTAACAGAAGAATCCGGCTTTATACAAACGACGTTATCAATAATCATCCCTGACAGAAGCTCCAGGACACGAAACTCATTTCCAGCAGCTCAGCGAGAGGCTTAGGATCCCGCATGAAGAGGAGTGGAGTTTTATCCCCTTTTCAAAAGATGACGGCTTCAATTTAGAAGCTCTGTCATATTAACGGCAGAGATTAATTGTAATGTTAGGCCAGATATTTAATCTGGGGTTTATTTGGCCTTTCCTGAATGATGAAACACGAGCTCTGGACCAAGACAGAGGTCTAACAGTTGAAGCAGTGAAGAGGAGTTGTATTTTTAAATGACCGACTCCAAACTCGCTTTTGTAATGGGAGCAGCGACTTGCAGCCCACTCCGAAGGACGCCGGTAACCTGTCTGCATTTCACCGGCAGAGGAGATGAATTCTCCAGGGCATGTGTGCTGGGAATTTTAATTCTGAAGCTTGCGAGCTGTGAATCTTTTTGTGCTGTTAAACTCCTGATGCGAGACCGGCAGCTTGCATGTGTGGTTCCCTGCTTTTGCCTGCTCCAAAGCAGGACCTTCCTTTGTGAGCACGCATCCAAAATCCCCGCGCCGTTGATTCACCGCAGTGGCTCCCCGGCTGCGCCCCAGAAGCGGGCAATACTTACCGGAGGCCCCGGTTTTCCCGTGATGCCGGGAACGCCTTGCTCCCCCTGATGGCCCATGGGCCCTGGGAGTCCTGGGATCCCTGGTACGCCAGCTGTCCCATTAGGTCCTTGGACACCTTTTGGACCAAGTTCTCCTCTTTTTCCTGGCTGTAATGAAGAAGGAAGGGGGGGGAAACAACCCACACTTAAATCACAAGACATGGTCTATTATTTTCTCATAGGGATTAGTTAAGCCTTTCTTTGGGTTTCACTAACTGACCTGGCTGAACATGTACGCTTTTTACATCATACGGGTGATTTTACCTACATAGGACATGGTAGTAAGAGTCCATGCTGCAGCAAAATGATCAAACACATCTGAATGTTTGGAATGCCACAGAAAAATTGTGACTGTCATAAATTTTATAGCATGGCTGTGACTAAAACAAGCTTCTAGGAAACAACGCCAAAATACAGTTTATGGAGATACATCATCAAAAGATGCGATAAGCATGTTTGCTCCCAAACCTTTCGGGGCATGAGCCCGCAATGCCTGACACGTACCTCTCCTTTTTGGCCAGGGGGACCAAAGGGACCCTGTTAGAAAGAAAAGGGAAATAAGAAAGAACGATCCGTTCAGAAAACGCGCCCCTAAAGTCAAATCTCCCACGCTCCGGGAAGCTGCGATGACAGGTCCGTGGCACCTAAAGGACTTTCCTAGCAAGGGGGAATGGAATGGTAGGAGGATGCTGGAGACCAGGTTCAGCCCTGGCACAACAGGGAGAGGACTCTGACGCCAAGCCTTGCACTTGCTTGCAAGTGCTGAACGCAGGTCCAGGCAACGTGGCTGCTTCTTGAGATGGACCAAACCCCCCCGGACAGAGCAATGTCCGCCGCTCTGAGGAGCGAAATGACAAATGAGAGCTGATATGCCACAGCTCTGCAAAGGTCACACTGGCTGTCTGGTGCATCCTGAAGACAAGAGGAGAGCTGATGCACACTGTCATTACGGTGGCAGAAAGGCTTAGGTTGCCTTCTCCTTTTCACAGCCATCAGGGTTGGAGGTCTTAGTTAATTCTTACTGACCATATTAGTTCTCGACACACGGTTCTCTAGACCCATCTGTTATTTCAGGAGTGTTTTCTACGGAATTTAAGGACACCTACCAGTTCTCCTTTGTCACCTGGGAGGCCATCTGCTCCAGCAATGCCCTGAAAGTGAGATACCAGAATTAACACTGTGCTTATCGGTGCACAAAGATTATTGACAGTAAGGCTCACTCTGAGACCGGGATAACCTCCGCTCTGAAGGGAGGTGGGGACACTTAGCAGCTCACACAGCTGCTCCAGCAAGCGGAAGTCCTCTCTTCCCAAAGCTGAGCTCCTCAGTAGCTGCTCCCCTGCTGACAACGGCACTCGTGGTGCAAGGCAGCTTGCATGAGGACTAGGCACCCTTTGCAACAAGCTGAGACTTGGATGAAAGGCTGAATTCGTACAGATGATGGGGTGGCCAGGAAAGACATCCACAGGCCGGCACTGGCATTTCTCTTACAGGGAATCTGAATTTCAGGTTCTGCAGCTCTGGGTCTCACAGAAAAAGCACATTTGCAATGACAGCTAAATGTCTGGTGTCCACTGTAACTGTGTCCTCTAGGCCTCCTCAGTGGGAAGAGTCACCTGCAGAACAGCTTCATCCCACCCTTACACAGAAGCGATCCACCTCTTGGTGAGGACCATCCCCCTCCGCTCCGTCTGGGGACCCTAACGTCAAGGTGGCCAGTGCTCTGGTGACCTTAACTTCACTAGCCGTGACAAGGAGCAGCAATTTGTTGATCACCTCCATCAAGGCAACCGCAGCGTGTGCAGCAGAGCTGGCTCATTACACAGCAATTAGAGCAGATAATGAGCATTGTTATGGTGACTCTCTGGCTTAAGAGAAGTTATTTCAAGAGGAATGCAGGTTAGGTTGGTCTTTCCCTTAGCAACAAAACAGGGACCACACAGACACCGACAGCGGTAAACAAAACAAGCCAAGCTTGCTGGAAAAGCACTCGTTTTCTGCAAAAACACAGCCATGCATTAACAAAAGCCATGTATTTGATGAAAACTGGCTCAAAAGGTCACCACTGAGATTAATCCAACTATGGAAGTTACGCAGCAAACAGTAAAAGATTAATTTAGTCTATTAGTCTGCCAAGCTTTGAGGCCAGGAGGAATCCTCTCCATCAGGCACGTGATGTTCAGCGCTTCTAAACTGAATTTGGGAGGAATATGATGCGAGGAGCTCATACACGGCATGCCTCATGGTTACAAAATGAACTGCAGGAGTCTAGTGTATTTATCGCAGCACTGTTGTGCATCTCCATTAGAACAGACTCCATCTCTCGCCAACGCAGGAGAAACGGGACCAAAGGGGGTTTTGTTGGTGCCTGCTCCAGAACGTTTGCATTGGAAAGAAGGAAAAGCAGGCTACGCTGTCAAGGTAGGGTTTGAATGCCTCTGCTGACTGCAGCGTGATCCCAGGAGGAAGGTCAGCTTCGCTTACCTGGTTGCCTTTGGGACCAGGAACGCCAGTAGGACCCTGAGAATAAACCAAAAGAAAGAAGGCAAATGAGTTCAGACGGTTATTTTCCTGTGCATTCCTGGTGCGGTCAGACAGTCGCTCACGCAGCGAGGGGTTGGGAATTAGTCTCCTAACTGCCAAGTAGGAGGGACCAAATCTCATTCATGTTTCTTAGAAACAGGAAGAGATTTTATGCCTCCCTGCCAGTTTTGAGGCACTCTCTCCAGTCACCGGTTTGTGTTGTGGGACAGTTTCTCAGGTCTCTTGCCTACAGCGCAGAGCAGCTGCCAGACCAGGCAGGACCTCCCACCGCAGGCCTGGTGGTCTTCTGCCCACCATCTCCTCATCCAACCAGACCAGAGACCTTCCTGACATGGGCAACGCACTGCTCCCCACCTGCCTGGCACAGGTTATCCACACTGGCCTTTTCCCTACCATCCTCCTCAATGTCCTAAATAAAACTAAAGTGAATTCTGTGCTTTTAATCCTAGTCTGTAAAACCTCCTTCACAACAGTCATCTTGCACATCCATCCCAGGGGCAGGAACACTCTTTTGCTTCTGGCTTTCTATTTTTCGTTATTGTCATCTCGCTATCGTGACTGAAACAGCAATTTTACAAATTCACAAAGTAACGGACAAGGTCCAGGGCGAGACTGGTGGGAAATCGATCTCTGCCTTTCACACCTGAAGATGCGAGAAGGAGATTGAATTTACTCACGGTATAGAATGGACGAGAACGTTTTGGTACCGCAAGGGCAAGAAGACAGGATATTTTTTCAGGGCTTTATCACTGTTGGTTTCCCTGCGGATTTCGAGTTAGGTGCTCCCGACTTTGAGATTCACAGACCAACATGGCCACAGCAATAAAACACATGTAGAGGATGAACTGATTATCACCCTAGGGATAATTCAGACAGCTTGAAAAATCCTTCCAACTTTAACGCTCTCTACCTGGCATTCACCGAGAGGACAGGAGACACTGTCAGCCCTTCTCCGTGACTTTGAGTCTGTTTAGCAGAGCCAACGAGGAGTTCAGGAGAACCCCAGAATTTTTTTCTCTAGTGGAAAATCAACGTGGGAAATTCAACCATTTTACTCCTCAAAAAAAAGATTTCTACAGCACATTTGTCAGTCTGGCATCTGCAAACTGATCTTTTTTTTTAATAACTGGATCTGGAGATGGCTCAGCAGAACAGAATCTTAGAGAAGGACAAACACATATAAAGGCATGTCATTTTGTTCAAGTCAAGCACTGAATAAGTTAAAAAAGGGGGGGATTTCTAGTAAAGAAAAAATAATTTGCATCAGCAAAACAGAAAACAGAGCATGGAAATTACAAAATGGCTGTGGCTCTGTAGAGCTCCCATTTGACGTTTGCCGATGGCAAAGGCCAGGTTGGACGGAGCTTGGAGTATCCTGGTCTAGTGGAAGGTGTCCTTGCCCATGGCAGGGGGCTGGACTGGGTGATCTTTAAGGTCCCTCCCAGCCCAAACCATTCTGTGACTCTATGAAAGGCGACGTATTCTTTTCTGAAGATTAGCACCTAGATTTATGCCTCCAACTTCACAGAGTCCCAAAGCTCCATGGAAGTTTCGAGCAATAAAACCACAGCTTAGTCCCCACAGACTGCGTCCGGCAAGGACCAGTCCCTAAGGAAAAGCCTAGCCCAGGAGATTTGGACTCATAACTGTGTAATTCGCAGCAGCAGCGATTCCTAGCAGCAGGAACAAGTGACAGGGCTTTGGGACCATCAACTCCACGCCCTCCAGCTGTCCTCACGTTTGTGTCCCTCCATCCGTTAAACACAACCAACGTTTTTTGCTGAGCACCTAGTGATGCCAGTACGGAGCTGAGAGAGACGCTGCCCCAGATGGCTGCCGGCATTCAGAATCCCCAGGAATTTGATCTTAATAACAATACTTCGGAAGAAATATTTACCTGTTACTACCACAGTCAGTAATAACAGTCAAATCCTTCCTCTCCCCAATATCCCACTCCAGCAAGATGGTTTATAGATCGTCTCAATGCTATTTCATATCTTACAGTCAAATCCATTAAGCATCTTGTATTTTTCATGCAAGAAAATAGGCTTGCTGATGTGCTGGTTCGTATTCCTGGCCACAGTCACCCCAAGGACTGTGAAAAAGATATCAGTACTTGTTAACTCAGGCTTGCAGGAGTATTTTTTTTCTTTTTTTGCAAAGAAGAAAAAAGCCACAATTGATTTGCGGAGAGCGTGATGGGTCGGCTGCGGCTGGGAGGGCGTAATTGTATCGATCCTGTACGTGCAGCTCTCCTCTCTGTGCGTGGCAGGACTGGCCGCCTGGGCTGCCGGGAAAGCAAACCCTGGGTGCGACCTGCGCTGCTGTTCTGTCACCCCAGCAGATGCCATCGCCCCGGTAGATGCCATCGCCCCAGCAGATGCCATCGCCCCGGCAGCAAATGGTGTTTCTTTAAGCTCTAAAGACACGGTCTGAGGTTTCAGGGTCTTCCCAGCCCAAATCCTGTGCCCGGTAATAGGCATGGAAACGTGCTGGTTGCTGGCACAGCCCTGGCTGCTGCCCGCACGGAGGAGGACTACGGCCACACGTGGCTGCCACCGACACCAGTGGGACCGGGCCGATGGAAGTCACTCTGAGCACCCGTTGCGAACGGGGAGGTGAGAAGTCTCCAGAGTTATCCAAACCTGCTACAGCCTGTTTTCCTGGGGGAAGCTGTTAACGAGCTGCAGTGTTAAGAAACAACGAACAATTACATCTTGGAGTAACTACACTTAACTTCAGAACCAGAGATAAAACCTAGATTTTTTTTTTTTTTTTTCTTTAAGCATAATGTTTTCCCTTTCTGTGCTCTGAGCAGCTCTCTGGATAGCAGGCTGCTCTGTGCAGGGGCCTCTTCCCCTCTGACTGTACATTTTTCACCGCAGCGAAGCCCTGAGTGCAGCCAGGACCCCGCAGCCCCACAATAACCCTCCTGTTCTGCGCTCGCAGGCTCACAGTCCCTCCGAGAGGCTTTCTGAAACCCGCCTGGAGCCGGCACAGAAGGGCCATTGAGAAACCCCCGCGGTGCCGCTGCGATCGCTTACGCGGAAACTTCACCTTAGAGCTGGCGTCGAGGGCGCCGGCGAACACACGGCTACTGTTCTCCTGCAAGCCCCGAACAAATGCCGTTCACTTTGCCCTGCTGGCTGCTTTTAAATGAGAATGAATTCATTTAAATAAAAAGTCGCATTTATTCTGAGGTGTGGGGCCCAGGTGTGTTGCTGTTCAGAAAGAAAATCACTGAGTAAACCTTAATTTTAAAAAATTCAGAAGTCCTAATCAAGCATCTGAATAACAAAAATGCGTGAATCAGCTCTCCTGTGCTCGTGGGGAGCAAGGCTCTGGTGAAATCAGCACACAGAGCAGAGAAAAACCCCAAACAATCAGCTGCTCTGGCTAGGACAGGATCCCAAAGCCTCTGTTAAACAAAACCCTCCTGTCTAAAACCAGCATGAGCACCTGAACTGAAACAGAAACAAGGACAGGAACAGAAAAGACAGGGGCCATGAAGCCTGCTACCTGCCGTAGGGTCTGTCTTGGGCTCGCAGCAGCTGCGGAGGATGGGCTGGGGTGCCCGGTGTACCCACCTTCTACCAAGCCTGCTGGCTCTTGCGGGGTGGCATCAGCTACACCATGCTCGGGGCCCCCTTATGCTCTTATTTCACGTCTCCCAAACAGGAATTGCTTACAGATGTCTTCTCCTTACCCTGTCACCTAACTCTCCACGAATTCCAGTTGGACCAGGAAGACCAGGTTCACCGCTGGCACCTTTGGGACCCTGTTAGGAAAACAAACCAGAAAGAGCTACAGCTTCAAGTGCCAGGAAACCCTGCACATCTTGACATCCCCAAAGCTCACCAGTCTCCATAACGTGTTCAGAAAGGTCACTTGTCTTGGATCTCCTCTCTCCTTTTCCCCCCCTAGACCTAGGGACCGCTTGCTGACTGTTGGTCGGTACAGCTCGCTCTGATTTCTGCCCTGCCACGTTCCAGCCGCCCGGCCAACGCGCTCCGGCCCTTGGAGCTAATCTTCTGCTCATAAAATCCCATCGGTGCCTCCCGACCAAGCGATGCTCCCGGAAGGAAGCACCCTGCACTGGTTTGCAGCCAGTTTCGCTGGGGGATGGACAGTGGTCGCGAACGCTCCCTTGGAGAGGGGAGGAAGAAATCTCAGCATCCCCAGCGCAGCAGAAGGGAGGAGGAGTTCACGGAAGACAAACAGGCTGGGAGCGTCCAGATCGAGGAGCAATTACAGTGTTTTTACATAGGCCAAACTCCAACCCTTCTTTTGCAAACAAATGCTAAAAATAAATTGTTGCAGCAGGCAGCTTATCTGGCCTTGAGCTTTTTCTACTGCGCTCCGTTAATAACGGTGTCAGTTTGGTTCTGGCAAGTGGAACGACGTTTCTTCCTATCACTTGTTGCTATCACGAGCTTGTCTGGCCAGAGGTTTGCAGAGAAGTGGCCGCCAAAACACGATGCACGTTAAATTACCCTCGTCAGCATACCGACCTGGAAACCTCTGACACCGGGGGCTCCCGTCGGGCCCTGAAGACCAAGCGGGCCCTGAAAAGAGAAAGATAAACTTCAGCAAGGAGAAAATTCAGGGCCGGGTATGTCACTTGTGTAATGAAACTGGCTCGCTTCTAACAGCGAGCGAGCACGCAGCTCTGTCCGGCAGCACAGCGGCATTGCTGATGATGAACCACTGTAAAGTGGTGCTTGGTGTTTACTGAGCTCTATTAATATTGCTGCTGTTATTAGCAAAAATACTTATTTGTATATATTAATGCTTACTGACATACCATACTCATGAACAGTGAACATCAGTGACAGCAAAAAGTGGTAGCGTGATAAAAAATAGACAGTGTATGTTAAAGGGGATCTGCTGTCCCAATATTACACTTTTAATTGATCCAGTTCTGCAAGAAACTACTGTAAAACACGTGCTGCATGCCCTTGGCCATGAAAAATGGCAATTGTGGCCACTTGCCTGGACATATTTTGTACCTGCAATAGAGAAAAAGGCAGTGCCTTCTGCTGTTAGTGCGAGTGCTCTTGAGAGCCTGGCTCACTGGACAGAACATGAACATTACCAGTAGGAACTCTACTGCTTTCTACTGAGAAAAATCACATATGCGATAAAGATCTTGGGTGAAAAAAACCCTAATAATTTAGGCATCTAAATCCCATTTTGTAAAGTGTCTTCTTGAAATCGATGCCTTAGGCAAACTTCTGTCACAGGGTGGGACTTCAGCTTTGTCCCCATTCTCTGCCGGGCGCAGCGTTAAGGGACACAAACACCCTTCGAACTGGCCGCCGCAGGCAGGACATCCGTCCGCACGGACTGTCCCACCTGCCCAAGACACCAGCTGTCTGCCGGCCTGCAGTGCTCTGCCTTAAAATGCCATCTCTAATGTTTCCTTGAGTGTCTTTTCCCCAATTGTTAGCCCTACAAATTCTCCCTGGTATCTGAACATCCACTGTCTCTCGGAATTTTTTCTCATCATCACGAAGAGGAAACCCTCGTGTGACGTGCGACTCGATGCAGGATCTAAACCAGTCGTCCTTCACCCTGCCTGGCCGTAACCTTGTGCTGAAACCAGGGTCTGGCCGGAGGAAGGAGCCAACCTGCTGAAATAAAGCAGCAGCGTCTTCAGAAGACAAGAGGACTGACTGCTCAGGTGTTTTTGTGGTTACTGTTTCCACTTCTGTTTTCTGCTTGCGATTCAGTAAGGAACTTTGAGAGTTATAAATACAGAGCTCTACGACAGTTACGTTAAATTGCATCAGAAATGACTCTGCTGTGCTGGTGCCTTCAAAAGTGGTGGGACCCGACAGAACCCGACAGCCTCTGAATGGGAAGAAACCCTTGGCATGCTGTGCTAAATAAAGTCAAATTATTTTCAGCCAAGCAGCTTTAACACTAGACAAATCCTGCAACTCTTAGAACAGTCCAGGCTTAACCATATTTCACGTAAATTAGGACTCCAATAACACAAATCAGAAATTGGAAACCCAGGTTAGGAATAAACAGGGGTTCAGCTGCTGTTGCACCCACGTCAGGAGCCAGCACCAACGCAATCAGCTCGACTGCATTGGATTTTTGGCTACAATACTGTGATACCTTTTGTGGGGCCAGCTATTCTGATGAAAAATTGCAGACATAAAAGCAAACATTATTAATTTAGTTTATTTCTAAGACTGATTTCCCTCTCCTTGGAATTTTGAAGAGCAGCTGCACACAAACAATAAATCATCATACAGTTCAATTTCTTCCAAGTGGCACATATCAGAAATCACGTTAGACTTGCTGTAGGCTTCTGGATTTCAAAATGAGATTAAGAGGGGCAAAAAAGGAAAAGAAAAAAAGCCCAACAAAACCACGGGAGGGTCAGGTCCAACCGCAACGGCAGCACTCTAGTTGGGGAGTGACAAAATTAAAGGTATCCTAGCTTTTTTAGTATTGTGAACAAAGTCACGTTTTTATCATCCTGATATCATTTATCATCATCTCTGCTATTCAGCAGGGACACGACAGGGAGCCACGCAGTTGTTTTCAGGTTTGCATTGCAACTCCAATTTATTTCTCAGGCTCTGAGATGATGCAGGGAATGCAAAGAAAGCAGGAGCGAGATGCTCCACTGAGGACCTCAGCGGTTTCTAACCCAGAAGTTTCAAAAAGTTGTCAGTTCAGAGAGCAAAAGGGAGAGCTGTTAGAGCTGTGTTTGGGGTTTTGTTTCCTAGGGGCTCACCCTACAAGCTCCCAGCGAGATAACGCTGCTGCAGGACTGGGTGGGAGAAGGAGATGTGCGGACAGATTCCCCACCTGAAGACTGCTCTGGTGCTGCACCCTATGGCTGTGAGCTCTGGGGCATTGTCAAGCAGCTGGGAAAGGCACGCAACTCGGTGCGAGAAAGGCAAGAGGTTCCCAGCAGGTCTACTGAGTTTTGAACACTTTTCACGCCCCTGTCATTCACCGTGACCACGTGCGGGCTCTCCAGGGCTGTCGCTCGTACGGCTGCAGGTTTCGCAGCGAACCTGCTGCGCCAAGGGAAGCGACAGAGGAGCGGGAAGGATTTTGTGTTCCATGTGCTGGTGGCAATGCAGGAGTTTTGCTTCATTAATGACTCACATTCAGCACAAGCTGAGCCTTATTATCACTAATGAGGGAACTGCCGACTGTCCAGTCTCTCCCGTCCGGCTGCAGCGGCTCCACAAACCTCTTGGAGAGCGGCAGCTTTCTTTGCCAAACGAAAGGGGAGGAATCACTTGGCATTTGCATGGAGCTGTGGGTGAGAGCAGGATCTGACCCACTCACGGGGGAGCAATTCCTCTGCTGCCAAAACCCAGAGACAATCCCAAGAGAGAACGTGGCCTTTACTTCAGCCAGAGAGAAACCCCCATGTACTGAACTCTGTTTTGGCATCTATTTCATTCACAAGCAGCATTGTACTTACTGTTGCTCCTCTGGGTCCCGGCAGACCTCTGTCCCCAGGAATACCGACATCGCCCTGGCAATAACACCAAAGTCAGCCGTGCCACTTAGGAGCCACGAATCCACCCTTCCCAGCCCGCTGCAGAGCTGGAATATGTTTGGGATCTCAGGCTCTTTCGATCCCAAACTCCCTGCCCCTCTGCCCCATCCCCCTAGGTCCCGCTGCCTGCCTTGGTGGGGTTCCACCTCTGCGCCCCTGTCGCGCTACTCAAAGCTTTATTCGGGCAGGGAAGCAGCGCAGAGAGACCCAGCTTTGCAGCTTGGTTTAAAACACACTCACGGTGAGTGCAGATTCTGGGGATACGTACAGGGATGCCCGGCTCTCCGGAGGGACCCGCCTCTCCCATCTCTCCAGGACTGCCCTGCAGAGGAGAAAGCAAACGCTGGGTTAGGGCGCAACTTCAGAGAGTCACTTCCGTCCTGCCCAGAGCAACAAATGGAGGAGGGAGGTAAAACCTGGCTCAGGAAATAAAAACAGCTTTAAAATTCTACAGCCTGAAGACCAAGAAGAGAAACCTCTAAAGAATGGACATTTAAAGGCCAGCTGAGCCATACGTCCTGTCCCAGGACCAGCGAGCGGGGAGGGCTGCCAGCCCCGGGGCAGTGCCACCACGTCCCACCGCAACTGGGCGACACGGGGATGCTCCATTTCATTCATTTCTGCATCACCTTGATGCCAGGAGAAGCACCTTCCTGCAGGGCTCTCTCACGCATGAGGCTTAACAAGAATAATGATGCAGGTGCAGAGGAGGAAATTCAGAAAGGAAAGGAGGGACAAAAAAAAAAAAGACACTTTCTAGGACAGCCTTGTGCTGGATTGCTGTGGTCTGTCTGAGATTTTCTTTTATATCCCATGTAGGTGCCAATCTAAAGCTCTTCTAGGGGGATGGGGGGGAAGTCTCCAAAAGGAAAGATGAGATAATCCAGCTCCTGCTTGGGGATGCTCAGCCTTTTGATTCCCAAAGACGAAGCCTGCTCTTGGGAATTCAACAAAAGGGGGAATGCTTCCTTCTGAGGTTTGCTAAACCACTGACGCCTCTCCTGTGCATCTGCCACCGAGCCAGGTGCAAGAGCACGGCCACCTCAGCCGTTACCCCTCGAGCCTGCTCCTCGCTGCCGGGGAGCTCAGCCCTGGCAGGAACGCTGGCACCAGCACTGCGGGGTGCGTCCTCCCAGGGTCTACTGATGGGCACCAATCCCCAAAAGCTGAAAAGCCTTGCCGTGACAACTTTAGTAGCTTCTGCACCAGAACCCACCATCAGAGAGATTCACTTACTGGTTCACCCTTTGAGCCTTTAATACCTGCTCTTCCAGGCAGTCCCTGAAAAAAAAAATATTAAAGCAATGTCAGAAGAAGTGGAGTTATTAAATTTGTTATTCTGGTCTGATTTGACACACAAGGAGCAATGTTTGCTTGAAGCAACGGAGGATTTACATTTCTGCAGCTTTCACCATGAAAATAATGGCTTCAGTTTCCTCCCGGTTCACTGCCGTAGCAGCTCTGCGCACACTGATCCTTGACAATTAGAGCAAAGAGGAGGAATATACAAACAGAGCAGCAGCAGCAACATTTTGCACAGCAGAAACCTCTCTCCAGGGATGTTCAAAATATGCTGTAAGACACGAAGTAAGGAATACCTTACCTCTATTTAAATAGTTGGAAGACTGGAGTGATGAAGCATTTTGCCAGTGAACATTAGTAAGCCCGGGACAGAGCTCAGGCTGTTGTTGAATTGTGGCCATTTCTTTCCCAGATCTTGCCTCCCTACACAAGGGATGCACGGCACTGGGATGTGAACGCGAAAATCCCTCTCAAATTTGAATTTTGAACAGAGTCAGAGTGCCCAAAAGCCAGGGTATTACTGTATTAGTATATGATGCTACTCCAGATGTTTTCCATTGTCTTCTACACTGCTTCCCTGTCTGTACGGTGGGAAAAGTGGGTTTCCTCTTAGCTTAAACAGGACCCTCCTGAGACAACGCAGACCATGACCCCCCCCCTCCCCAGGCAGGGTCACTGTGCGCAGGCCAGGCTGCCGCACCGCCCCGAGGGCACGGCTCCTGCTGCCATACTCACGGGCAGTCCGTTCGGCCCCTTCTCTCCCGGAGCACCCATGCGAGCTGCGTCGCCCTGTGGATAGCGAGAGGTTAGGAAGGACCCTCCGGTACTGGAAAATGCTCTGACACAGGTAGGGGACGCATTCCCAAGCAGACATTTGTAATCTCTTCTCCCTCCCCATCTGTGCAGGACCCAGAGCCCGCTGTGTCTACAGGGGGTGGGCACCCACCGGGGACCGGCTGCCCACAGCTCCCAGGGGTTTCTCTCATCTCCTTGCAGCTCCCAGTCTTCCGTGGCAGCACACAGTCCACATTGCTGTGGGATCACCATTCCAAAACCAGGCAACTAGTACCTGACAGCACTTTGTCTACAGGCAATCGAAATAAACGGATGTCTGTGTCTGTCAACAGCTCTGAAGAGGCATCACTGAAGGCCTAGAGTCAGCCAACAGGAACCACTACGTACGGGGACACAGCTGAGTTTAGACCATACGTGCATGGCCCATATGTGCATCTTATCTCTTTACGGAATTTCCTTGGGATTCATTAAAGGAAGCTTCCTTGGGATTAATTAATAGAAGCAACTTCACTCTTCTTCACTAGTTACACTACGGGAAAACTCTTTAGAAGCAAAAGCTTTTCATTCATGCTCTTTCTTGACAAGCATCAGTGGCTTTGCAACACACATGGGACGGTAAGAGAAATCTTTCCTGCAGTGTTTAAGTAGGACTTTACAAACCTTCTCACCATCGAGTCCGGGAGCTCCATCCCGTCCATCCTTGCCAGGCATGCCCTGCAACCATGCACAATGCAAGTTAAGGTTATGAGGAGACTCTTTGGTTTGCAAAATACATTCATGAAGAACATTTTGGCAATGGGTCCAGCTCTAGTTGTACTGGGGAGATTTTTCACAAACAGCAGTACAACTAGGGCCTGGTCCAACCAGGATTACACTGCAGGTTACACAGACCCACAGAGCAGAAGTTTGATAGGAAAGACTGTAAGATACAAGATTTCTCCTATCATGTTTTATCTCATTATCTGCAAGCAAAACCACAGGGAGACTGGCATCTTCCTTAATTGACTTACAGGTTCTCCTATGAGTCCGCGAGCCCCTGGGTTTCCTTTTGGTCCAGGTCTACCCTAGAAATCAGCAATAAATCCTGCGTTAGCCAGGACACAACTCAGGCTGTGCTGGCTCCTGTCCTGTTCATATAGGTATGGTGGTTCTTTTAGGACACACCAGAAAACTGGCCCAATGCTGGTTGCAGCACCTAGGAAAATTCCTGATTGTTTCAAGGGATGGAGATGCAAGATCTGATCCCCATGCTCTGGGCTGTAAGAAGGACCGAGGCATCTTATTACTTCGGCATCTTTAATAAGACTTAAAGGTCTCATTTTTGAGAGGAATGCTTTCATCCCTTTCACCTCCCATTCAAATAAACCAAGCGGGGCACAAGCCCTAATAAACCTGTCAGACTCCTTCGAATGTCACATCCAATATTTGGGCAGATGGGTGTTCTGCTGCACTTACAGTGTCACCTTTGGGCCCCCTGAACCCTTGAGGTCCTTTGCTTCCTTGGTCTCCCTACGACAGAGGAGGAAAACACGTTAAGCACCTTCACCACACAGTGACAAAGACTGATGTTTCAAGGGTACAGATGATGAAGGGTTTTGTGCTGTTTGCTGGCGTTAGCTCCCCTAGGAGCTTGGCTGTACTTTCTCCGTTACGCTCTGTAATTCCTGACACACAAAGAATGGCATCAGGGACTCTGCCAACAACCCCTCGGGGCAGACACCATCTTCCCCTTCATTTCATGAAGCATTTTCTTTAACCAGAAACAGAGCGGGAGAAGAACTTTAATATTGTTTAGATCCTGCTTGGCATAATTAAATATTTGGTGGCCAGTAAGAAGCTCATTTTATTTTAGTTCGGATGAACTTATTCTATAATTGCAAAGACTAGGGAGGGCTCCACAGAGGGTGGCACTGCCACGGGGTCATCGTGGACTGCGGCGTGTTGGCTGGTGTGGGCAGGTGAAGCTGCCTGCTATAAAGTGGATGCCGTATTATCCACACTAAGGAGAAACTGGTGGCAGGCTGGTGGAAAATGCTCTTAGAGAGGCCATAATGCTGCAGATGCAGCTCTGGTCTCATATTTGGGCACAGTAAGGAGGGCACGGGGCTCTGCCCGCAGGTTCAGTGTTCTACACTTCACCCCAGAGCTCTGCAAAAGGATGAGGGCTGCATCTTTAACACACAACTATTTCTGCTTCTAGCAAAAGCCCTTGCGAGCTGTGGGCACTTGGGAATAGACCAGGCTCAGAGGATGTAAGCTCAGGGTAGCGCTTACTGATTCTTCCTCAAAACTCTCCTTCCCAAGCACGCCGCAGATGCCCCTCTCAAGTGCTCGCCCACAGCTGCTGATGCTCAGGGGAGAGCAGTGAAGAACAGAGAGCAATGGGAACATGGTCACCTCATTCTGGCATGGGGCACGACCGAGGGAGAGACATCATGAGATCTGAGTCAGGTGGAATAACATTGCTCTAACTGTGGGGAAAAAGGCAAAGGGAATAATCTGATGTGAGACGGTCAGCACAGCCCTCCTGTTCTCTGGCAGCAAAGGGTTTAGTGCAGGAGGAATAAACTTCGGGCTTTGGTCGTGGAAGGCAGGGCCACAGAGATGCTGAGAAGTGGATACATACAGCTTTCCCTGGAGGTCCCGGGATTCCAGGTGGCCCTCTGAAACCGATGTCACCCTGCAAAGAATAAATACATCGTTGTAATGCTGTGGCTGGCAGAGGGTGAAGGAAGAGTATCCCTACCTTATACCGCAATCCAAGGAAACACATGAAGCCTTGGAAAGATACCCCATAGCTCTTGCTAGCTTTCAACACAGTCTTGCAAAAGCTCCCCCTCTGCACAAGCAGGTTTTTACTCTGGATCTCTCCACCCCATTATCTCTGTGATGCACATGTGATCAGTCACCGCCTCCGTATCTTGATAACACACTTGTTCCCAAATAAATGCATGACTTTATCAAATTCAAAACCATTCTAGGGCAATAGTCAAGGGACCTTGGCAAAAGTCCAAAGCCACGATGACCTGGAGATTGATCCTGTTCTCACTGAGGAGACCTTTTTGTCCTGAAAATCTGTCCATCAGTGATTCTTTGGCTTTTTCTTGTAAAGAGACAGTACAGAAAGGGAAGTGTTCATGAAATGTTTCTCAGGTGTTTTTGCAAGATTCTTCAGCGTTGTCCGCCCTGCACGAGCAGCACTTTGTCCTTCTGGTCTGGATGTCCAGCCAACACCGGGCCTGTCAATCCCTCAGGTATGTAGACTCCTCCTGCCTTTGGAAGGTTGTTCTGCTTGAAGTCTGTGCAGGGAAGAGCCTGCACTTTCCATCTTTACAAGTTCCCCAGTGGTCTTCAGTAAGGACAAATGCCACCTGGACCTTGCATGAAAAAATTGGGGGGATGGAAATCAGAAGAAAGTTTTTCTTACTCTGTCACCAGCCGGACCCATTGGACCAGGGAGGCCTCTTAGTCCTCTTGGTCCCTAATTAAGAAAACAAATCAGTTAAAACCTGATTAGTGTTAAACATAAAATGGCAGAACAGCACGACGTAGCAACTCATCAGCACAGAAAACGCTAAGAAACAGTGAAGTGCGGCAGAAAGCTCAGCCTTCTGGTGCACAGACATCTTCCCCTTCAGTGATGACCCCCGAGCAAGCAACGCTGGAGATACCCCATGCAGATGTGCGTTCAGAGCGCCTGCTCTCCCCAGCCCACTCCCCAGGCTGTCGAGCCAGCCAGGAGCTCAGCCTCAGAGCCACCCAAAAGGTGTTCAGGACTCTACCAGACTACCAGCAAGACAGTGGCTATCGCTTGCATGGCTCATCCAAGACGATGGGCCAAAAGCAGCACCTATATTACAGCTCAGTGAAACCAGCAGAATTTGTTTTTTTCACCAGCATCAACTTTCATATCTGTTATCATGCAGAGGTAAGAGCTGTTTGTGTAACGCCAAGTGATTGATGGCACCATCAGGCCAGCGCTGCGAGGAATGCCTGGAGGACCCGGAGGGCCGGGGTTGCCCTGGGAGAGAGAAAATAATTAGATGAAACGCGAGACAGCATGAGCCTGCCAACCCAAAGCCAGGGACCTTCCCATCTTTTCTCCTGGAGCTCCCTCCCACTCAGATTTCTGCGTCAGAATTTGCTTCTGCTTTATAGGCAATTTCTTCTACGTGCAAGAACACTTGATCAGTCAGGAATTTACCCGAGTGATTAATGCAGGACTTTTTTCCTGAGCTGACATCCCTGCATGTGAAACAACAGGCGTTAACTTCTCAAACTGATCTTAACATTACAATTATTGGGCAGATGAATTTTCTTGAAGTATTAGCACACAGTCATACATGCAGAGCGATGGAAGCCAGTGTGCTTCAGTCATAGTAACTGTTCATTGTTCAGCCAATTGCCTCGTTTCTCCCTGTCTTCTGAAGAAACTATTTGTTATGGTGCTTTTAAAGAGAAAAATACTCCACATCCCCCTTAAATTAAGTTTACCTTTTCTCCTTCTTTTCCTATTTCACCAGGTTCTCCTTTGTGACCAGTGTGTCCCTAGAAATAAGAGCTCCAATTATTCACATTCCAGTACAGTCTTGGTTCAAAATTTAAACTTTGTGAGATAGCTCTAAAACCGAAACCTACACAACCCAAATGACTTACTGGGAAAGTAATCCATACTTGTGCTGTAAACGTGTGACTGGAGGTCACACGTTCCTGTGTTACGTGTCATTGTGGTGGAACTGATTGAGTTTCAGGAAATGCCCAGATTTGATTTCCAAGAGTGACCTGCGGTGAGACCAGGCTGCAGGTCTTCGCGTGCAATTCTCAATTACAGCTCAGGGACCAGAAGTCAGTTCCCATTACTTCTGAAAATGGGGCTGAGATGCTTCTGAGAACCCCATTCTGCATCTTTAACCTCCTTTTTGTTTAAGTCATCTTTAATGTCCACATCTCCCAGCTTGCAATGAAATCCACGTCCCCCTGAAATCTTTTATATAGACTCAGATTCAGTTTGCTTCTTGGCTCCCTCCCTGTTGTTATGGGAGAGACCCAGACTCGTTTCAGCCATGGAAGATGTTATCCCTCACCACGCAAAAGGTCCTGTGCATCATTTGCTTCATAACTGGAGACAGGTTTTTCCATTTCATAAGCTATGAATTTTGAATTGTTATACCCTAAACATTGTGTATTTCTAACGATATTTATGACTCAGCTCAGAGACCACACAGACCTGCAAAAGGTCCGTTCATGAGAAATTGAAAGCATTTCCAGGCAGATGTTCCACCCGTTGCCTGCTGAATCCTGCTAAGAAAACCTCGAGTAACTTATTACTTCAGCTCACTGCTGGGGTGTAACCTACTGCACAGAATTCATGTGAATCATAGAGGGCACAGAGGAGGAGATGTTTACCTGCTGGGTGAGGTTTCCTGAGGGTTGCAACCTAAAATTTATGTACCAGAATCAAACAACACAAACAGAAACACTGCCTGGTGCTACACTGGGTATAAAATGACAATTAATTTCTATTTAATCACAGAAGAATCCTCGTGCAAAGGGTTAAATTTCATTTGTAGGAATAAATGGCTGTAGTTACAGCTTCCATCTAACATAGGCTGCAATCCTGCAAGGGATGGAGCCACACAGCACGGGCGCGTACTTGAAGGATGCAAACCCCCTTGCTGGAGGTGAAGGAAGAGCACTCACGCTTTGCAAAGTTGGGGAACAGCAGGCAAAGAGGGCAGGATCAGGTCCTTCATCCACCTCTCGTATTTGGCTGCTTTAGGGGCTTTCTGTTTCAACAGCACAAACCCGGGCAAATGCGTGGCTGGTTTGGAGAGGTGCGGAGCCTACAGGAGAGGTGTACTGCATACACAACAGCTTGACCCCAGGGGTTCAGAGTGGTATTGATTTTGGGAGACAGACCCTTCGACCTGTACGTGTTATTTTTCTTACCTTGAAGCCTGGCCAGAGCTGGGAGCTGCAAGGAACAGAAACACTCTTTGGTTTATCACACAGCGCATCCAGGGAAGCTGGCTTCATTACTAGGGAGAGGAGAAAAGGTCAGGTGGGTTTTGGCTCTAAACCCACTAGGTCTAATTCATTCCTAGTATCGTGTATTCACTGGCATTTCCCTGTGGCAGAGCATCCTAAACAGGTCCTCAGGCCCCCAGTAAGCCACAAAATATTGGTTTATGAATGGTCTGCTTCCCTTTGAGCATGGACTGTGAGAAGTTCTGAAGGCTGACAGTTAGTTGTCCACCATCCAAAATGCTGGAGAATCACAGTTCCCCAGTGAAGCGGGATGGGTATCTTGTAAATCATTAAGAACATATTTAATTCTATTGCATTCATTGAACCCCTATTCATTGCCATTTGACAACTCACCTAACTGAAACAACGACAAGCATTAGAGTTTGTCTGAAGGGGACCTATTAAAAATTAACCCTAATACCAATAAGCTGGTATCTGCAGATGTCTAAGGGTGGGTGAGCCCATGGCGAGAACTCTAGTTTGACTGGGAACAAATCAGAACATGCATGGAAATGTAACGGGGGCTCAAAAGGCCACACTCTAAAAAGTTTATAAATAGGGAATGAGATTTTCTTCTGCATCTTTTCTTTCATTTTTCTGTTTTTTCTTTTAATAAAATCTGAGGCCACAACTCTTCCGCAGGAATTTCATTTTCTAGTATATTCCAGAGGGTAGCTTAAATTAAAATGGCAGAAATAGCACCATTTTCTATTAACTTCCGTGTGACTTGCCATAAGGCAGCCTGAACTGACTCTGATTTTTTTCAGGGCACGCCAATTAGAGAACCAGAGATATTGTCACAACAGCAGCTGTGAAATCTGGAAATGTCGCTTCCATCATTCATGGACTTAACACCCCTTGCATTCCCTTGAAAGAAAGGAATTGAGACTTTCCCGTAAGGAAGGAAATCTAAACAAAGCATATGCCCACAGGAACCCTGTGCCACCATCCCTGGAAATAAGCAGTGCAACACGCACGGCCTTTTCGCTTGCAAAGCAGGGTTGGAAACAGAGGCATGAAAAGCTGTTGTCATTCGCCAAATGCTAACATTGTTTTGTCAAGGAAGAACGTATGCAAAACCTGCATTTTGGAAAGCAAACTGGAAAGCAAAGATCAAGGAAAAAATCAGTGCCAGCATATCTGCCTCCTCAAAAGAACATTTCAGTCTCGTAAACGCGTGCGCACCACTTCGGCGTTCCATGACAAGGCGTTTAGACCCACGTCCGCAGGTCTGAACGGTGCACGTTAAATGGTCTGACAGTCACCCACGTACGCCAACGAAAAGTCACGTCAGGGATCAAACCAAAAAATGTTTTCATGCTCCGTAAAGAAAAACCTACCTGAAGGTCCCCACCGCCATCGGGAAGGGTGCCTGGAAGACCCTGCAATTCATGAAATGTGGTCTTTTAAATCCACCAAGACAAAGAGCAGGAGGAAATACAATTTCTAGAAAATGCACTTTGCAGACCCAGCTCAGTTGGATCAGCACGAGGCAGACACCCAGCCCCACGGTGTAAAACGCCGCCCCTGAACCCAGAGCATTATGAGCTGCACCAGTCCTCAAACCAGACATGTTGGGGGTGTAATGATCTTCTGGACATGCACAGATGAGCTTGGGGAAGAGCCTTGAGCCTTTAGCCTCCTTCGGGCCATGAAAGTTCCTTGGGAAAGACCTCTCTGTCCCTCCAACCCTCCAGAGATACTGCAGCAAACCCAAACCAGAGACTTGCTGGGTTCAAGCCCCCCTTGGTGGCCCTACAAGAACAGATCATGATCCAAGCAAACATCTAAACCTTGAGAGAAGAAAAGCCCACCCTGCGACCTGTCTGTGCCACAAAGCCTGGACATCATGGGGTCCCTGCACCCCCACAGCACAGACAATACACAGGAGATAAATGAGACACCACAGGGCGACCAGTGAGAAGTCACTGCTCTCCTTGGGGCACAGTGCTGACGGCCTGCTGAAGCTCAGCCCGGAAAGGGAGCGCTCGAGGCAATGGCAGCAAATAAAACGCGCACGTTCCGGCAGCAAGAAGAAAATTCTGGACTCCCCATGGGAATTTTCTTACATTTATCTGCAAATCTCAACTTACGGGAGGTCCGGGTGGTCCAGGAGGCCCTGGGAATCCTGGCAGCCCAAAAGGTCCCTAGAAAAAGTGAAAAATAATAAGAATTCTCCTTCTTAATCATTTACTTGAAAATGAAAAGCGAGAGGAAGGGTGGCTACCAAATACCACTGCACATTTGTGAGTGTGGGGCAAGATATCTCTAATGGAACTAAACTGCACCTTTCTTTCTGCAGAGGCTTCTGTGACTGCAAAGAGAAGAGCAGGTGCATATGGGAGTATAGGGATCAGGACAGAAGAACGTATCTCTGCGCCTACATCCCTGCTTCCACTGGCTCTGCACCTCTCCAGCGGAGCTGTGGGAACCCAAAAATGATGGTATGCTTCTGCAGAATGGGCTCCATCTGATCAGACACATTCTGTTCAGTGGCTTCTTTTGAGGATGCTGGAAGTACACGCCAATTGGGAACTGACCTCTGTTCTCATGACATTCGCTGCTCTTTTGTCCTTACTCATAGTTGGTAAAGGAAGATACGGCTGCAAGCAGTTGCCTGCCTTTGGCATTGCACTGGTTGACTGGGGTGACCCTGCACAAGCTGATACAAGGAACAGCACTGCCCATGGGCATTTGTAGAGCTTGCAGTGTCTCGTGCATCATGCTTCCAGAATGGGGTAAGAGACCAGAAGTGAACCTCATGCTTCTGTGGCTGTGGCATGATCAGTAAACGAGGATCAAATGGTAGGAGAAACTCACAGGAGGACCCCGAAATCCATTTCCACCTGGGAGGCCACTGGGTCCTGGAGGCCCCTGTTGAAAAGAGAAGAGCCTTACACCCACGGCAGCCTGGCATAGCTGACAAAGTCCAGGGCAAACAAACAGCCTGGGGGTACTCATTTGTCTAACCCCTTCGAGAAGCCCAAGCCTGCACCCAGACAATCAGTTTACCGATGCACGTCTTTCTTTTGGCTCCACCTTCCCATGGAGCCCACTCTTGTCATCATCACGTTGCCCACGTCTGCCTGCTCTGACACAGGGCAGCTCTGGGACGCCCCAGGAACCCACCGGCCAAAAGCTGCCCCAGAATCGGTCACTTCCAGCGACTGCAAGGCTGCTGTGCCTTGAATTTCCGTCCGCGCCAGCCGCCCTGGGGTCAGGGTAAGCATGAAAAGCCCAGAAGGCTGCCGACCCGCAGGACTCCGCATCCCTCTGCCCAGCGCAGGAGGGACTCAAGGCCTGGGGTGGGTCTGTAACACTCAGGGTACCCAGGAATGCTAGTGTAACAATTTAAACCTCTTTTTTGAAAAAGAGCTTCATTACTTACTGGAGGTCCTGGTAGTCCTTTGCCCTGGAAAAAGTATTTAAAACAGTAGAAAATTACTTAGAAACTGAACATACAGAAAGAAAAGCAAATCTAAGAAAATGATGCGCAATTATTTTTTCTTTCAAGTTTTCTTAGTACTCCCCCGTCCCCAATTATTGTAATTTGCAATCAGAGCAGAGCTGGAGTCTTAATGAATCCTTTTGTTCTCTCCAATAATTTGTATTCCCTTTACATCGCTGTTACCTACGAGACATCTCTAACTAAACCCACATACGGTGATGTGACAGCAGGACACAGACATTTATGAAGACAACTTTCTAGTTTATCTATTTTTCCTGGGTTTCTTTTTTTTTTTCTTTCATTTTTATTAGACATTATCTAATAAAGGCAGCATTTGATGTGCTAGTCTTTACCCCAAGCTGGCTTGCTTTATAACATCTCAGACACTAAGAACAGGCCTGTGCTAGCAGAACAGGTGGTACCAACATATTTAAACACTTCAAACAATATTTTCACACAGTCAGGCTTTCATCGCTTTGTTTGGGACACAAGGCTTCCTGTCCTTTCCCAATAATGGTTTGCATAATTTACACACCATCTTTACCTACGAGGTTGTAGGAGGTACTTACAGCTGGTCCAGGTGGCCCGGCAGGTCCTAATGCACCCTACAGACATAAACCAGAGTGCAAATTAGCCAGGGTAAACCAGAAACTCCCACACGGGTGGGCATCAGCGCCTGCTCTCCTCAACACCAATCTTGGAAAGCTCCCGCAGTGTCTGACAGCAACAGCACGCAGCTGGAGATGCTCAGCTGAATTCACAAACTTAAGGACAGAAACTGATGGATACTGACTCTGTCACTCCTGATTAATGACTCGATTGAAGAACACCTCAGGATAGTAGGGATGGATGTTCAGAACTGGCCCCAGCAACTTTCTTCACCATTTGCTGGGCAAGAGAGAGTAGAGACTAAACCATGAGCTGCCCCTAAAAGACTAAACAGGCACAGCTGCAAGCCACAGCTGGCTTCAGATTAGTCTCCACAAATATCTAAAGGTTCATAAACTGAATTTCATCCATTTGAAATATTCTTATTTATAATACTTTCATGTTGTAGATCCAATGACTAAATTATCTGAAACTATTTAAAAGATTTGGACTTGTTCTAGTGAATTTTATTAATTTGTACATTTTCCCTTCAAGCACAGACAAAGATTTGGGAGCTTCTGCCTCTTCAGTAGCTTCCTTGGCAAATCCCCAGTCTCCTTTTCCCAATTTGCATTCTCATTCTTAAGCTTGACTAGAGTTTGGTGATCTTATGTCTTAGACTAGAATTAAGTCATTCTTGAAGCTGTTACATTCCTG